TAAAAAAACACGTTTGGTTTATAGATCCATATTAATTATTATATTAAAAATAATACTTTACTAATGTAGATGGCTGTTAATAAGTGTATTGGTGAGTTCGCTCCTGTTGATGGYSAMTGTCGAACTAACTGCTGTGTKTCATTTTAATAATAAGTAATTATGTGCATGGGTAGAAAAGTGTTGAATGTGTATATTAATATTGGTCAATCATATAGTRTGTGTTAAGTGTGGGTATAATATKTATGTATATATAAGGTGTAACGAATGTTACAGTGGCATTACTGACATTATAACGTTTTTAATCATACGCGTTCGGTATTAAAAAATTATTAATATATTTTTGTGCAAAACAGTGACAGTGTCGATATAGGGGGTTAGCGTCAACGCCCGCGCCCTTGGCCCTTTTACGTTGATGGGCTGCGATGAATAATATTATCCTTATAATAATAACAGTATTATATAATATTATCGTGGTTGGATCGCGCCGTACAATGGTAAGCATATTATTGAAGTAGATTTGAAYGYATATTTTAATCCACGATTATAATGTTCCTTTGCATTTCCATTGAACACCTGCAGTGTAGGTAATTGTATTTATTTTCGGTCGTTTATTTATAGCATTGTCTTCCCATCAACCTCTAGCCGAAAATAATAAATACTGCTTGTCGTGATAAATTTGGTTAAAATTATTTAATTTATCTTCATGTAAATTTTATAAAAAATTCACGTTGTAGGCAGCGATGACACACAGTAATATTGTTCTCGTATAGTGCGTGTGAGTAGTTTGAAACTACAACTTCAAATTTTGTTTATACAGGGTGATTCATCAATCATATCTATCCCCCTTTTTTCGTCAATCTTGCAGTTGTTCAAAACTTTATTATAGGATTATTTAAATATATACCTATCTAAATACTTTAGTAGCTGTCCTAAAGACCATGTTACACTCATATGCTTAAGATATTTCGTGTGCCACTTCTTGTAGCATTTATTGTAAATTATTAACAGGTAATTTTTCTGAAAACTAGTAACCAAAAGCTATTAAAATCATTTTTGAGTAATTCAACGGTATATTCTAAGCATAGTAGGTAGGTACATAATAATTGATTTGAAATATTAAGAGTTATGATGATTTGAAATTTTTAGTATTTCAATTTTTAATATATCAACCGTTCAACACTAATAGCTTATGTTAATGGGCCAAGTAGGTAAGGCAAATAAGACAGAAAATATTACATATTCCATTTTATATATTTTGTAAAACATTTTTAAGGATTATTATTGTAGGTAAAAAGTATAAACATTTTAAACTGAACTCAGAAAATTATCGTTTGAATTTTAAACATAAAGCACATAAACACTTGCAACAGAATTAACCAATATAAAATTTAAAATAAAAAGAAGGTATCTCATTTTAATAAAAGAAGTTCATGTCTCCACACGACACTCTTTAAAAACCTAGTAAKATAAATTCCAAGAATTTTAAAACGTAGTCTTTATTCTAACTATTTAACTTTTAACTTTTTCTTAGAAACATCAGTATTCGTATAAATTYATGGTTACAGAAAATGAAAAGGGTAAAAACACTTGTTGAATCACCCTGTATATTCTTTATTTTGTATGAACTTAACTATATTTTACATACATATAAATCGTTATGCATAGACATAGAGGCAGAACGTAAAACGCTGTAGGTATACAATAATATATATATATATATATATGTATAAAGACGAGCAAAAAAACGCTTGTCCTTTGACACTACGCGTTTGTTTGTTTTTTTCTCCACCGTTGTTATTATCATCGTTGCCACTCGTTTTAAACTRTTCTATAAAAAAACCGGAAAAAATAATTTAAAAAAATAAAGGGGTCGGAAAATGATTTTAATTGCTCGAAAACGCATACCTATAATATACGCACGCATCATAATACATACATATATACATATATACATACATACATACATACATACATACATACATACATACATGCATACATACACAAATATACATACATACACACATACATAACAATACATGCAATATACATGAACTATCAAAGTGTCCTTGTACTCGTCTTCACCTTTGGTGCAACATATATAATGTAGCTAATAGGGTAGCGTCTCGCTTCGTAGTCCCCTCCAATTATTTCGCGGTCCACTCCACTCTGCAGTAACAACGCAAAATCGTCACTGGTCGTTTCGGTCGAAGGTGTTTTATAAATAACTTCATTATGATAACGACGTTACGTTATAATTTGCGGTCAGAGCATGCTCAGATAATTCAAATGGTATAGGTAGGTACTCATAATAATATCAGCTAATTGCAGCTAATTAACTATATTATTTCATTAATAATAATAATTCTTTTTTGTATTTTGGTTTTGATATTTTTATCATGGATTTACGACTTCAACGACTAGGGTTATTAGCACAAGATATTATAAGTATTTTATGATAGTTCTAACAACATGATAACATTTACAATGTTAAAAATTATTAAATTATTACCATGATTTCCCAATTCGATTTGCGGCTAAAATATTTTTGTTGTAGATATAAATAATAGTTCTCCCTACAAGTTATTATTTAATATTAAGTTTTACTAAAATATAAAAAAAAAAAATTATATTTTTAGTATAATATGCAAAGTATATACTTATAAATATACAGAGTACCAATAATATTATCAAGTATTAATTATACTTATGATTTATTTGATTTTTTAAATCATGGAAATTGGTAATAATATTATAGTGTCAAAATAGTACCTATCATCGGTATCATAATCGTTGAAATTATGGGTACTAAAAATATAATTATATCATCATTATTATTATAATCATATATTGAAAACAACGCTTACTCCTCCGTGTTCAACGAACGTCTTTTTAAGATCAGAAGTTTTCAATTTTTAATAGCAACATTCGGTACATTTTCACACTTCATTGCCATACAGCACGTCATTTTAATATTATACTGAAGTACTTACCTGGATATATATATTTATTATACAAAGTAGGCTGAAATAACAAAACGATTTTCACATCTTAATTGTTTTGCTCGTAAAACTTTACCAACACCTATTCAAGAACCTAATTTCGTTGAAAACTTTAAATTAGTTTTTAAACTTGATTCGACGTTTTCTTCAGATTAAATATCTTTTGGTTGAAATGAAAAAAAAAGAAAGCTGAATTTATAACTAATAACTGTTGTGAGACTCTGCTCTGAAATTTGAAATTTCTGACTTATTTAATATTATATTAGCGTTTTAAACAATGACGACCGCCGCGCGCCGTGCGGAGCGAGATTTCTTACTATGGTTCAAGAACAACTATAATAATAGTGAAAATAATAATATCATGTTAATTATGTTATAATATATTACCATATTATTATCAACTTATACGGATCTCAGACTGCGCAGATCTGATTTTGCTAAAACGGATATAGATTTGTCACTATAACGCATCGAGACGATGGCCTCAGCTGACGCTGCAATAATAAATTTAACTATGAAAAATAATAAAAAAGTATAGGTAACATAATATAATAATGTTATTATCATCTTTTACTTTACAGGTATCATGGATAAGACACAGAGACATACACATACTTACAGTGGGCGCATACACATACACCAGTGACCAGCGGTTCCAGGCCATTCACCACAGGTCGCACTCGGACCAATGGACGTTGCACATCAAATGGGCACAAAAAAGAGATGCGGGAATTTACGAGTGCCAGGTGAGCACGCAACCAGTGAGGAGCATATTCGTCACACTGAACGTCGTCGGTAAGTATACCCAACATGTTTATTAGCATATTTTTTAAATTTTGACATAATTATACATAGGTAATTAACTGCATGCTGGAATATAGCACAGTTCGTATCATATTTATCATTTAAACAGTCATTTTCTCAATTTATGTTATTTACAATTTACGTAGGAAATTCATGTCTTCAAGCCACGATATGTTTTTAAAGAGGAAAGTATTTTTTATCGTTTATTGGTGTTTATTCAACGACTAAAATTAAATATCAAGCAAGACTCCATTCATTTATAGAACCATTTAACCAGACGCCGCAGCGACGTGGCCAATGTTGTCCTCATAAGATGTTCACTATATGCTACTCTATCACATACCTAAATTATTATAAACACTACAAATTATAAAATTTWAAAAAAAAATGTAATAAATGCTCATTACCACCAATGGTAATAAGAAAAAATGTCTGAGAAGTAGGAAGTAAATTATATTGAGTTATCTCATCGAACTGCAAATTTTTGATTTCAAAGATAAGAGTGGATAGAATAAAAATATTTTGTAATCACTTCTCGATTATGCACAAAATATATTGTAAAACCAATATTTTTTTTTAATGAATTTTACAAATAATTTACTGAGAAAATGACTATTGATGATTAAAAAACTACCTCAAGTAGATATATATTATAATACATAGGTACCAAGTTACTATTTACCAATATACTATATTCTGTATATTATATCGAAACAATTATATAATAATATTGAAAACTATAACTAGGTATACACCCGGGGTGTAAATTTCCTGATATTTCACATTGCCCGTAACGTCGTATTACACATTATACATATAGTATACAACTATTTCTCGTTTTGATGATCATAATCGATAGACGTCTACTTCCTCGCCGTATTACATGGCRTGTGAAACACGGATGTTGTTATAATATGATTATTATTATTACTATAATTAATATCTTTGTTGTTTCAACACGTTGGCGTTATCGATATATGCATACTATATATATACATATATAAAATCCACCTATACCTACGTTTCAGACGATAAACCGCCRCCCTCGGACAGCGACGATAGTTTACTAGACATGATGATAAGAGACGGAGACTTTACAAAAGGTTTTTATACAAATGTGTTTGCGTGTGGTTTGATGTTAACAAACGTTTTCCGAATTAACGCTAATAACACTATCATTATTATATATACAAAACGTTTCGTGCAAACTTGCTCGGAACGGCCGTTTGAAAGTAATTAGTTTTCGGTGATTTTACCTCACTATAATTAGGTAATATAATAATATGCATTGTTGAATGACGAAAAAAACGGTGTTCATACCCATCAGCTATATACAACCTATCAACGTTATGCGCAGCGCATAAAACAATTAAAAATCACATTGTTAATATTATTATTATCACACCAATGCGAAAGACAAAACCTACTCGGTCGGAGGTCACTGTCGACTGCGGCACTTATTTATGCCGAAAATTAGCATACATACGACGCGTATTAAAAACAAATCGATTTTGAATATCCATTATTATTTTATAAAGGAATCGACCACTGAACCATCTCGGAGTAGTACATTATTATTTGGAATTTGAATGCACAACGCGATTCGCTCATATATTTTTGTTAACATTATTCACCTAATGATTTTTAGATTTTTAGATTTTTAGCTGATAGTGAGAAAAATAATTGAGATTTTATAATTTATATGATAATAGTTTTTATTATATTTGWTAAAAAAAACAACAACAAAATTTAGTGTACAATTAAAACTCTTAAGTACAAGTACAATATAATAAATATATTATTGTGTCCTGCAATATAAACGCAGTTTAATGGGTTTTTCGCACAAACTTTTAAAGTGAGCGTGGAAAAGAAACTCTATTAAAATTTGTGTTTTGCAAACGCAGTAGTTAAAGTCTCTCTTTTTTCTTTTTTTTTTTGATTTCCGATTAACGTATATGGTTTTAAATCGTTTTAAAATAGCTACTTAAAAACCAYGATTTTTGAGATTTTCAGACACCAGTCACATATCTATGATATTTAAAAATCTCTAATTTTTAAAGTGTGCACTGAAAAACCTGGCGCGTATAGTAAAATTACGTAACAATTGTATTTGTCGTCCGAAAAGCGTTTTAAAAATATATTACAATTAAACTATTATATCTCTCGTATTATATCTCATATCTCTCGACTTGAATTTGAAAATAATATTTATATATACCACCGTAATTAAATTCGTATAATATGTGTATCAATTACACAATGTGCACACTTAATTAAAATAGCCGTTGCAACAAACACATCAAATATTTGTATTTTGACGTTTTGCACGCATGAACCATAACGCAGTGTAAAATAACATTTCGTTATAATTATTATATTGATAGCAACAAAAGTTCGTATGAATATTTACTTGAWATTTGTTTGCATAATTTTGATGAATAATATGTAACCTAAAGACTATTCCATTTCCGTAACTTGGTCTGTCAAATACATCACGATACTATTATATTTATGCATCAATCAATTCT